AGAAATAATTATCACTTCCAAGTTTTAATAAATTCGTTCTTAAATAGGTTATTTCNNTTCTCTCTTTTCTCAATTTTTCATGGTTTAACGATGGATCGACTATTTTTTGGTCGAGTGAGCCGATATTTCGAATTTATCAACTTACAGACTATCACCTGATTCTGGACTGTGTTTTTGAAGGAACTTTTTAGCTCGTCGTATATCATGTTCCACAGTGGGAACATCATCGGGCGGTATCTCTTCGATATTATAATTGTACGCCATCTTGAACGTGAATCTATTTGCACCATTGATACATCTCTCTCACAATACACTTTTTTGATGCAATGATAATTTCTAAATTTTTATCGCGAAAAATGTAATCCTCGTTTTATCCTTGTATTATCATCGTTTTAATACCCATGTATCGCGATGCCGGACAATGGAGATTCACTTTTTTTTTCTTTTTTCCGTGTTGCCTTCGTTTATTTTCAGCATATAATCAGCGTCATTCATCCGTTCCATACTCATGGATACAGTTTCGAAAGCGTTATCTAATGACCCAATTACATTAACGAACCGAAAACGTCGGTAATCATCACGAAATTAATTAAACCTACAGATAGACGGTACTACGTTGATCTTTGGTTGATTTCTGTTTCCTGAAACGTTGAGGTTATTCACAATGAAGATACCGGAACGTGGTACACGTTGGAATTCACTTGTACGATGCTAATTGTGTCAGGAATAATTTGTCAGGGGGTAATTAATCGAAATTGTCGTGTATGTGTGTACTTACGTTAGGTACATTAGCATTGGAACGAAAGTCATTAGCACGTTTATTGCGTATGCTTTGGATCTGAGTTGACATGCATGTATATACGTATGTATGTGGTACTTATGTATTTTTACTAATAAAATATTAACATTACGATTTTAACACGAGTATATCGATAAAATTTATTATGTGATAGATATGACAAATATCTTTTTTTTTATCAATCGTCCATGTAAAATAGCCTTCAAAATAGCAATTTTTCAGAAACATAATTGGAAATTATAATAATTGCTCGCAAAAATGTCATCGCAGATAATCAAAATCTTATCGATAACGAGAAATGTAAATGCGTATTAGTAACGACGCAATTGAAATATACAAGAATGAATTGTGTCGCGGACATGAATGACCATCTATCTCAATGGAATAAAATCGCACGCGCCGCTTTCTATCAGACTGCATCCTGGAGCACAGTTTATCGTCTATCGTCTGCCCTAAATAGAAACGTTGCTTCTCGAGGTCACTAGCTGCTTCCTTTGACGCCCATCCTTCATGCTATGTGTAACGTGTCCTGTCACATGGAAAAAGTGATCTAACTGTGCGATAACCGATGATACAGCTTGTTTTGATATATTCATTTTTTAGAAAATTTATTTTGGAATGTTATGTTATCAAATTACATACAGAAATTGTAAAGTTACATAATGTGAAGTGAAAATCATATAGAATATGGAATGATATAATAGTTGTTAAACAGAATTAGAATTCAGAAAGAAAAAACTTAAAGTTACAAGAAAAAGAAGTTTTGAAGTTCGAACACGAAGAATTTTATAAAAATATCTGTTATTTAAATAAATAGTGATATGCTGTAATCAAGATTTCGTTTGTTTAACGCTTCCAGACGAATGGTTATTTATTTGAACATAACCGCCAATTTTTCTTTCGATGTGTATATAATTTAATCGTACGACAAGCCGTTTTTAAACACGCGTAGCTTAGTCCATGATGATGGAGATATACCATAAAGAAATGATTATCGTAACGTTAATATCGTATAAAATATTTTGATTTTTTAAAACGAATATTATATTAAATGAAATTTAATCGTCCTTATATTTTTTTTTCTGCTAAATATTATTTATGAAACATAACCTATACTTCTTTCGAAATTTTTCAGGAAAATGAATTTTTCACTAAATCTTTCATTATTTTTGTAAAATTTATGTATAATTTTTTGATGAATCAAACGGAGAATTTATTTATATGTTTCTAAATAAAATTTAAAAGATTTAGTTTCAATAAAATATTAAATAAAAAATATTATTTATTTAAAAATAACACGAGTTGAGACATGCAGATTTATAAAATAAAAAATAAGATTATTTACACCAAATATCATAGTTTTCAATCATATTATCAAAGGAAGTTTCATTTTATTCGATCAAAGAGTGTATAAGTGCTTATAGTTTCATACAACAAACGGAATGACCTCAATCTTCGCTTTATAATGCTATCCCGGAAGCTTATTTACTGAAATAACATTTCTGCTTCGTTGTAAACTTTCCTAGATTCAAAATATAATTTGCATTAGTATAAGTAATATAGTAAGACAAAGAAACAATGATATTATTAACAAACTTTTTATCAATACCTTCCAGTTTTAACTCAATATTATACAAATGCATTCGTTCTATTTTATTTTAGATGATGTGGTTTCAAAGTAATGTTTCTTATCCTTTTCTAAATCGTGATCTTTTTATAATCTCTGAAAAATAATTTAAAATTATTATATTTTAATACAACACATATATTAGGATCTAATAGTTTTTAATTGCAATCAATCATAAATAATCATTCAATAAATTTCCACTTTAAAACTTTTACCAATAAAAATATACGAATTTTATCATTGAAGGAAAATCAATAGGGGCGAAATTTCGAACTGATAGGAAATCCTGGTTGCAGCTTGACAATCACCACGCACTAATTAACTGAACGCAATCGCGTTCGGTAATCAGCCATCGATGGGTTTGGAATCGTGGAGATTACAGAAACTCGCGCCGCTATCAGTTAGTCGCACGTGCGACGCGATTTGTCATCAGGGAGAATTCGTCAATGAGGGATCGGTCAACTAGAGGAAGGGTGAAACCATGCCACGTGGCGAATTTTCGACGGTTGAATCGCTAATAATCCCGGATCTCGTAATTTCGCGAACGATATAACAGGTGGTAATTGTCAGAGCATTTACGTGACGGAAATGTGACTATTATTGATCGAAGATCAATATTTGCATAGATGATATTAAAAAATTAAATGTTGAGAAAAATATTGAAGTTTTAGTGATATTTCATTTACATTATAATTTATATTGTGTTATGTTGAAAAATAAATATAAATTTTTATATATTTTTATCAATTTTTATGTTTCGTCGAACAAATCTTGATTAATAGTGGCTTTCACGAAGCAATTTTTTTATTTTGTTAAATTTTTTTATATAAGAATTAATTTCCTATTAATTTCCTCCATAAAACAGAATAATATACAATATAGTTGATAAAATATTCGATCGAATACACAATCATTTGTATAATATTTACAACATAGATACCGGATATCTCTAATATAATATTTATTCACAGAAAATATACGAGAACAAGAAAAAATTAAAATCAATAAAAATTCATTATGATATCAATAGATATCAATCATAAATCGATTTGTAAAAGTGTTAAAAAATGTTTTATATATATATATATATATATATATATATATATAACATTTGATTCACAAATACAAAAGATTCATAACCTTCAAATATAAATTTTTATAAATAAATCAATACCAATTCAATAACTACATAATTGCAAATAATAAAATTTTAATAAATATTAATAAACCTTCATCACTCACCGACATTTCTAATCACGAGCAATATTCAAAGTATCTAGTGACAATTTTCGAAGATATATTTCGTTCCCTCGATATATATTCTCTCGATAATAACTTAATCGATATCCATCAACTATTACTAACAACTATCGATATCTCGAACGATCGATATTCATTATATAATATCGATCAGGACCTCGCTTCTCCTTCATCCCACGCTTGGTGGCGCAGCTGTCATTGACGTTGTTCCGTTTATTTCGATCGTATCCAGTAATGAGGAATAATTAACAAAACTAGAGGTTGGAGTGCGATTAATAAAAGGTGTGTGTTGACGTCGCGATCGAACGTTGTCGTCGATCCGTTAATTCATCCTCTGTCGAAATTGAATCGGTGCGTATTGTTCGCAGCGGGCACGAAGCGTGCATTAATTAACAAACGGACGTTAATGTTCGTCCACTAATCGCGTCCGTTGAATTTTGCGCGGTATCGAACCCTGACGAAATGAAATTCACGCTCGATAACACGTACGAGACACGTTTCTAATTATGTTACATTAATGTGCATTCTTTTTTTTCTACTTTTTTTTCAATCGCAATATGGGTTGATTAAAAGTTGTGTAAAAGTTTTGTCTTTGCGATTTAGGTTAGGTAAGAATAATCCCGTTAAGCGATGCTATAGAAAAATATAAAATATATAGAAAATGCATAAGATTAAATGGAATAAAAGCAATATTAATGTTATTATGTTCATTATTATACATTAATTAACATATTAATATATTATATAACATGGAATTTATAGCTACTTACATTGTGTGTGTATGTATGAGTGTGTAAAGATTGAACGATTGAAAAATTTTTAATTTTCATTTTATTCTGCCAAGAAGTTTGAAATCTTTAGATCTATCGTCTGGAGAAATTTTGTAAGTAAAAATAATATTTTAAGAATAATATTTCTTAGATATGGGTTGAATAATGATTCATAGATTCACAAAATTTGAATTTGAAATTTTTTTTACTTTAAAAAATATCTATTTTATTTAAAATTAAAATCTTAACAAATTTTTTGATTTTATGAGTCATTTATTCCTATATTTATTTCTTTTTTTCATTAAATTTATATTGTAATTTATAAGTTATATAAATAAGTTATATAAATTTATAAATTTATGATATTTTCATTCAATCGATGTAATTAAGCGATCGATATTTACACCATTAACAAAGAATATTATAAATCAGTAGTTTTCACTTTTTATTTTTCGCATATATCGATGGTTGATACACGATTTAAAAATAAATCATTCTATCTTATCATAAAAAACCTCATACTATTTGTTTAACCTCGTTTCTTCAAGTTCGACCCAATTTAAATTGACTGCATTATCACTTCGTTCAAAACATTACATAATACTAGTACTATATAAATACAACATTAATTACATAATAGTTACATTTCCAAAAATTGATTCGATAGAAAACCATTCAAATATATTCAAATATAAATATTAATCTTCCTTCAAAGATTATCCTCGTTTCCTGAATCTTTTTTATTTTCAATCTCCTTTTCAAAATTCACTCAAAAAACACGTAAGGCGATCCTTCCTTCGAAGAAGGAATCTCTTTCCACTCTATTAGATCTATCCTGTGAACAAGATCAAACCGAGTGCAACGAATTTCTTAATCAACCGGATGTATAGCCCGGAATTTAAGTGTGCAAAAGAAAAAGCACCGTCTCCACGGTGCTTGCAATTTTGCGGGGGCGTTTGAGTATGAATGAGTAAGAAGTCCCCACCAAGCTACTCACTCCCATCCTCCTACTCTTCTCTTCTTCCCTTTCGGTCCTCCACCCGTTCCTTTTCGTATCCTCCTCTTCGCCTCTCCTCATCCCTGCTTCCAACTCCGTATAATATCTCTTTCTTTCTCTCTCCATAACTCCTTCTCTTGTCTTTCTTTCTTTCTTTCTCCGTCCATTCTCCGCTCTCCCTCTTTCCCTCTCGGCTCTCGAAAGCGGCTCTATCGGGGGTCGGTTCGCA